TTTCTCTTAAGTTAGACATGACTTTAACAAAATGTTGCATCAGACATTTTTAACGCCTGCAGATTTTTGGGTTTTTTTTCTATTTAAATATCCCACTGACAATTGAAAAAGAAAATCCAAAAAACACTTGTAGTCCATTCTAAAGCCAGTTCCGCTTCCACCCTGTCTCTGGAACTCTGTTGGCTCTTTCCAAAGAACTGCTCTTATTACATTCTAGAACCTGGTGTTATTTTCAATTACAAGTCACAGTTCTAGGAATTGAATTGTCCCATTCTCAATTTTCTCACGTGAACTAGTCATCTACAGAAGTAGAGTCAATATAAGCTCTAGCGGACCCATTTTGAGAGAGCTAAGCACTAGCACTTACCTACTGTCCTTCGGCAGGCAACTAGTGGGATTAATTATATTGAAAAATCTGTGTCCCAATAAGAGATGCCTTGCAGCCCTTTTATGCTTCTGCTTAACATATTAGTAACTCTAGTCAATGATATTTTCAAAGACCTAAATTGCACTTCCTTTTACTTAACCTAACCTCTTCATTATTCCTCTTCTATCTCTGCGTTCCAGAATTTCTGGAGTCTCCATGTACTTTCAAAATTCCTGGACTCCTTAAAACACAGGGTCCCCTAAAGGATAATACTTCCACTACATTTCTCTTGAATATATGCTGTTCATTCTCCTACAACTCATGGGCTTGAAGGAGTATCGGCAAGTACCCAGATATACTTAAGGGTCTATCACTACTCCTTCTATATGTGAAAAACAAGAGAAAGAAAAGAAAAATTAATGTCTATGAGTATCTTTCTATATATATAGACAATCTTTGTGGTTCTCATTTGTGTCATTGACTGTTAACTTGAACACCATTTCTTACACTTGGAAAACTTTGTGACCTATCTCACAATTCTCTTCCTATAGCAAGTCCTACCATTGTATCTTCCCAGACATTAAAACCTGGACCTACTTGAAGCCAACTTGGTAGCATGTTGCCAGGTTAAGATGTCAAAAACTGAACATCTTTCACTTGGTATTCTATTATTATTGAGACGAAGTTTTGCTCTTGTCACCCAGGCTGGAGTACAGTGGCACGATCTCGGCTCACTGCAGCCTCTGCCTCCCGGGTTCAAGCAATTCTCCTGCCTCAGCCTCCCAAGTAGCTGGGATTACAGGTGCCTACAACCATGCCCGGCTAATTTTTTTTTTTTTTGTATTTTCAGTAGAGATGGGATTTTGCCATGTTGGCCAGGCTTTTCTTCAACTCCTGACCTCAGGTGATCCACCTACCTCAGCCTCCCAAAGTGCTGGGATTACAGGCGTGAGGCACCACACCCAGCCAGGTATTCCATTATTATCATAACTTGAAATTTCTTTATTACCCTATTTTTCTATGGCAAGCCTATTTAATTTTTACTTCATTTTTTCCACTTGAGAATTCACTCTGCACTTCTTCAACTACCTTGTCAATATCCTTACTTTCTTTTATTGTTTTCTGACACACCCCGCTCACAAAATTTCAATCCATGATCAAATGTCATCTTAATCTTTTCTAGATCTCATTATTCTCCAAAACTATTAGATTTAAGCATAGATTCTTACATCTTTAAAAGAAAAAGTCTTATGTTCACAACCTCCTCATATATCTAGTGACTGCGTTAACTTTCTTCCTTCCTTTAATAGCCACACTTTCTATCTCTACATGTTTATTTGGTATAATACACATTGCAAAAGATAAGATAGATAGATAGTAGGTATCTATGCCATATATATATATATATATGTATATATATATATATATATATATATATATATATATATGCTTGTGTCTATATGTGTGTATGTGAATATATGTGTGTGTATATATATGTGTGTGTATGTATACTTGCAGATTTTTTATAATTAGCTATTTACTCTTCCAAGGCAACAATGAAGACTTACTTAAGTTTGCTTCTTCAACATCTAAAATAATGCTTGAAACATAGAAAGTACCTAATAAACATTGTTGCATGAGTTAATACCTGATTTAATAAATATGTGTTGATGCAATACAATCAGTTTGTGGCTATTGTTTTTCATCATTTTATATGTAGAATTATATTTTTAATACTTTTTTCTATTACTTATCTTTCTTTGAGTTTAATATTGAAGTACTGAGATAACTAAAATGTTCCTTAAGGACTCTATTAATTTGACATAGTTTGAATGATCATCTGTTGTTCTTTTTTTTAATGGTCTCTAGAGACTTGACAAATCCATCTTGTTCAAGTGTAATTGTGGTATCACTGGCTTTACTTCAGGCATTCTCACTCAGCACTATAATACTACTATGAAAAGCATAAGAAAAGTCCAAGGGCCGGGCACGGTGGCTCACGCCTGTAATCCCAGCACTTTGGGAGGCCGAGGCGGGCGGATCACGAGATCAGGAGATGGAGACCATCCTGGCTAACACGGTGAAACCCCGACTATACTAAAAACACAAAAAATTAGTCGGGCATGGTGGTGGGCACCTGTAGTCCCAGCTACTCCAGAAGCTGAGGCAGGAGAATGGTGTGAACCCAGGAGTTGGAGCTTGCAGTGAGCCGAGATAGCACCACTGCACTTCAGCCTGGGTAACAGAGCACGACTCCGTCTCAAAAAAAAAAAAAAAAAAAAAAAAAATAGAAAAGTCCAATTAGGGTTCACGTATCCTAGAGGGAAACAAAGCCTTTTTAATTCCAAATGTTCTGCTTCCAGGACTAAAAAGTAGAAACCAGTTATTATTTTCAACAGTTACCAGTATTAATCATTTTCCCTTAAAATGATTCTCCTTTACCTACCCATGAAGCCAAAATACTACTGTAATGTTCATAGAATTTCAGTGGTCCACCCTCTCCTCTATTTGAATGAAGCTCTATTTGTATGGCCCTATGTGAGAAATACCCCTGTGAATAGAATAACATATTTCCTTCAGGATCTCATGGATTTATGAAGACTCAAAAATAAAACAGTAATTCCCTAATGCACTTTCAGCCAAGCCAAACTGTTCTGAGCAACCTGTGCTCTTTCACACCTGGTTATGTTTACACTTGGTATTGTTCCTCCTTGAAATATTTCCAAGGAGTTCCCCTGCACTACTCAGTTATTTCCACCTGTCCTTCACAGTTCAACTGAGATATTAACTCTTCAGAGCAACCTTTACTGCTACTCCGCCTAACAGAGTTTAGTCTTTTTTATCTGAACATCACTGACACTTTGTTCTACATTTACAACATCATCGTGGTATAAGTATTAGTAAATTAGTGTTTTATTTTTGAGTCATCATGAATCTGTGAGATCCTGAAGGATATATGTTATTCTATTCACAGTTGTATTTTTTGCATAGGGCCACACAATTAGGAACCATACTGAGAAATGAAACCATTAGTCTATACTCAGCCTGGACACCAGTATTTAAAATCTTACTGCCTAAATCAACCTGACTTTGCTATTACACTGTCATTATTAACATGACTTTATTTTCCTGAAAGCCTCCTGCCCAGGCAAATGGCTTGATTGTTCATTATAGGAACATGCTGAAAAGTACATAAATTCTTCAATAGAAAACATTAACAGTTTGTGCCCTAAAATTGTTTTTGAAGCAAAAATCTTCTACCTTGAAATCTTGCTCTTGTTTCCACCAAGAGAAGCTATCATGATCCTTTCCAATCCCAATCAAGTCTTTATATTAAAATACTTGCCTTAAACCAAATGTCCAATTCTCAATAAATTTCTACCTTTCCATGCAACCTTGAGGAAATTGTCAAAGTTATGCAGAGGTGGTGATCTCTTTCTCTAGTGATAATAGACTCAGATTTATCTTATCAACAGATTGTTACTTAGTTGAATTAAACTGAATATCACATTTGTTGCCTAAAAATGTGGGTTAAGTAAAACTCCAGATTCTTTGTAATATAGCGTATTAAAATTTAGGTTGATAAAATTTTATGCTTCAGGTCCATAGATTTAGATCATTTGTAAACAAGATCTAATCAATGATATTGTATACATAACTAGTATTAGTTGGCAGAACCTCAGATATAGCCACAAGTTAATAGTAGGAAAACAATTATTAGATACCAACTGAGTGTCAGGTGGCCTTGTGCTTTGTACAAGCTAACCGCTTTTGCTTAGATTTTAAAGATTTCTGTTTATTTAAATCAAACTTTTAAATCATTTTAGACTCTTTCTCTATAGTGTTTCCAATTTGGGTTAAATGGTTAACATGCATTTTAAATGTGATCAGACTCAACACTGATTCATTATCTGGCTCAATGGTTCATTGGTTCACTCACTCACTATATAGCCAGAAGCATTATCACAGATCCAGCCTGCATTTGTCACGAGGAGCAAACTACCATACAAACGTAATGTCCACATCAGCCTCATATCTTTAAGCCAGGATGATTCCCCCATGTATCAAGCACCTGATATTAGAAATGAGCCATCAGAACACACCATTATTTGTCATATGAACACTCTCACACACCCTCTTTTTATCTCTATTTGTCCAAGTCTGCATGTATCTTTCACTTCCGATCAGCAAACAAGATAAAAAAGGATTATGTAAAAAGCAATTTCTTCTGAAGGAGCTATCCGGGAAAATTCATGGAAGAGGTGGAGTTTGAACTGACCCATGAATATGAAATTCTCTAATTTCTACCTTTATGTACCTTTGCTTTGCTTGTATCTTGTCTCTCCGCTTCTGGCTTTGTACTTATCAGTTCAAGCTTGAATTTGACCTGTCAGCTTTCTCTATACAGAATGTTAGTCACTTTGACCTAAACCTGGTGATTTAATTCTTAGCTCTTGCCTACCTGCACATGTTGGATTGCCTTTTAGTTAGAAAAAGAAATAGGAAATCACACACTCATGTAAACTATGTAATTGAGCATATGCAATGCTATAGAGTAAGGAGAGGGAGGACAGTGGCATTTTCTCCTCATTTTCTGTTCCTAGTCCCTACAACAAATGATCTCTTGATACAGGTCTTCTACTCCTTAAGATAGACAAGATTGATGAAAGACTGGAAATGACTTTGCCTGGACTATGATTCAGCGACAGTGTCCCTCTGGCAAGACTATTGGCCAGGTACTGCCAAAAGTCTTGAAGAGGATTGGGTTTTAGGGCATCATCCACATAGGATATATTAAGCCAACAAGGTAGCCTTGTGGCTTAATCAGACCTCAGCTCTCTTATGGTGCTCTTCATTCTATTATTCAGGATCAAACGCAGTGGCTGATCCTCACTTACTCCTCTTCTTAAGGTTGTTATGCTAGGAGCATCACCTAACACTACAACGGCACAATTCAGTGACAAAATCAGAGAAGGTGGGTCTACTCCTAATTGTTGTAAGCTCAAATGTTTTACCTTGTTTAAGAAGTGCAAATATAATAATAAGAAATATTAGCCAAGTGTCAGCCATATTATAAATAGCAATAAGGAATAATTTTTAGGTTGGGGGCGGTGACTCATGCCTGTAATCCTAGCAATTTGGGAAGCCAAGGTGGGCCGATTGCCTGAGCTCAGGAGTTCTTAACTAGCCTGGGCAACACAGTGAAACCCCATCTCTACTAAAAATACAAAAAAATTAGCTGGGTGGGGTGGCATGCAACTGTAGTCCCAGCTACTCAGGAAGCTGAGACAGGAGAATTGCTTGAGCCAATCATGGCCACTGCACTCCAGCCTGGGTGACAGAGTGAGACTCCATCTCCAAAAGTAATAATAAAAATAATTTTTAATTTACTTATCCCTAGGAGTGCATATAAAGCACTCAGTATGGTTTTTATCCTACATTATTTTCCAAAATTACTATATTTTGTTGCACTTCAGTCACATTTAATAAATCAGGAATTTAAATTCTAAGATAATATGTGACTTTTACAAGTTCAAACAGAAAACCATAACAGAAATTTGATTCAGGGTTTTGGCCAGGCACGGTGGCTCACACCTGTAATCCCAGCACTTTGGGAGGCCAAGGTGGGCAGATCACGAGGTCAGGAGATCGAGACCATCCTGGCTAACACAGTGAAACCCTGTCTCTACTAAAAATACAAAAAAATTCGCCAGGTGTGGTGGTGGGCACCTGTATTTCCAGGTACTTGGGAGGCTGAGGCAGGAGAATGGCATGAACCTGGGAGGTGGAGCTTGCAGTGAGCCGAGATAGGGCCACTGCAGTCCAGCCTGGGGGACAGAGTGACACTCCCATCTCAAAAAAAAAAAAAAAAAGAAAAGAAAAAAGAAATTTGAATTAGGTTTTTAAAACCCCTGGGTACTTGTAGAGCCCTGGAGGCATTATTAAAATATGGAATATTTGTGCTCAAAGATCAACATCTGCATTCATGCCTTGTCTTTCATTTAATATACTTAAAAATGTAATGTTCAAAGTTCTCAAAAGCATTTATAATTTCATCTGAAATTGCTACACATCTCATAAAACAAAACCCAAAAAGCATTAATATGCTGAGTATATTCATTCTTTGTCTTTAAGGGATCTGGTCTGTATTTAAAGGCTGAATTATTTATTATAGCTTTGCTGTTTAGAATCAGTATTTTTTTTTCAAAATCACTCTTATAAGCTGTTCTTGGTTAGATGTGGAAATATTCAGGGCTACACTATACCTTTCACTATTAACCACCCTGATTGACAGATCAAAGGATTTAGATGGTCTTGAACTAACAATAAGTTTATTTAGGCAAACATCGAAAGTCCAAATGGTTTGAAAATGCGTATATGTTCCTTGAATAGATTTTTACAAAATAAATCAGATAAGTGCCAAGTCTGTCACCTGTAGGAACATGTTATTTCTCTCTCTGAATTAAATTATGGTAAAAATCCTAAGAGACAAAACAAAATCTGCATGATTTTGCAGAAACATCCCCAATAATAGAATTAATGGGATCCAGGTGCATAATCTTCATATAAATTAAGGACTGGGTCTGTGGCTTTTGAAGGAAAAAAAAAAAAAGAAAAAGTAGTAAAAGTTTGCCATCAGAATGGCCTGGCCTTCGATCACCCTGAATGCATCAAAAGTGTATTGCCTGTTCACACAACGTCCACTGTGAGATGGAGTGACTTCCTGGAGCAACTCGCCTCCATGCGGAAACTCATTGCTCCAGGTTCGCATGCTCTGGTTTTGTAGCTGTACTCTTTGGAATGTGGTGGCTCCTATGTGAAACTTAGCAAGGAAAGAGAACATTGAAATTTCTCACGTCTACATTTAAATCAAAAAGTGACCCACATCAGTCACTTCTGTTCACAACACAGAAATAATAACATGACCCTACCTAACTGCAAAAGACGTGGAGAATGGTAATCTCCCATGTACCTGAAGAGAGAGAAGCCAGTAGGGTCTTTCCAGCCCCAGTTTTATGGCCAAGGAGCACTTATATAACCTCTAAGAGCCTCTGTTTACTCATTTATAAAATGGGAATTTTAGAAACTACTCCATTAGTTTGTTGTGAGTTTGAATTAAATGAATATATGCAAATATCTAGCCTGTGGCCTAGCACACAGCAAAAATTTTTTAAATGATTCTCTTCTTCCTGTTTTTCTTCCCCTCAACAACTCTGTAACAATTCATTAATTTATATATTTCAAAATGATGTTCCCACTGTGCTGTTCCTATGACTTTATCTCATTTTTTCTCATTTGTATTTTTAAAGCATTTTGAAAAGTGCTTTCAAATTAAAACAACCTATATTTTTCCAAGGAAAACACAAATAAAATTACTAAATAATTTAATAAGACATTTTAAAATACTGTTTCAATGAGTCGTATATTTTATTTTTGGATTACAAATATAAATATTGTATTTTCATAAAACTGTAGATTCAGCTGGAGACTTTGGTTATTCTTCTTTGGTCTAGCTGAGTTCTTGGGTAAAATATTAAGGCAAGTGGCATTTACTTTGTGATTATTCTGTCTTCCTAAACACTAATAAATCACTACCAGGAGAGTTTATTTTATTGTATTTCCCCCTTAATAGCTTGTTTTTTGTGGGGTTTTTTTTCCTAATACTTGGTATATCCCATTATCTGTGGTGATAGAAGGCCCTTCTCAAGGATTCTCTAAACTGCTCACGAATTTAACAAGAACTAAAGAGAAGTGTTATCTGTTAAACCCTTACCACATGCCAAATTATGCTTATAATTTTACATAAGCTAAGTTATTAGCCATCATATAAATAGGGTATTAGTGTCATTTTAGAAATGAAAAAATGGACATAAAAGGAAGTTTAAATAACATGGTTGTATTATATGGCCCATGAATGCAGATAGAACGTTTGATTTCAGGATAAATTCTATGCTGTGTATACCATACCACAGTTTGTGTTTGCTAATTGGCCTTGCCCAAAGGAAAAATAAACTTTCTTCCGTCTTCATGGCAGGAGATAGTTTTACAACTGGGAGAGAGACTTTCACCCAAATTATGTTTTTACCTTCCCACAGAGACTGGGAGATAGAGCCGCTATCTGCCTTGATAATTACCTTTCAAAGGGATTGCTCTTATGTCCTTGCAAAAGACATTACTGGGTTGTAAAACTAGCAAGAGGTTTTTATAAAAGATTCACACCTCAAGGGGCAAAGAATTTACAAGTTTCCTAAAGTAAATGGTCTAAGAAAAGGGAGAAGAGGGTCCTTGTTGGCTAGGTCATCTGTATTCTGTAAGAGTCGGGGTAAGAGGAAAACCTGCGGAATGGAGACAGAAAAAACCCCTCTAAAAATCAGTAAGCTGAAGGAAATGTGAAGGCCGTCCTGGTCAACACCATGCTAAGAATTTTACTACAGCTCTTGCTTAAAAGTAGAAAAGATAGCGAATCACAGCCCCCAAACAAGCCCTATTATCCCAAGAAAACTTTCTCCATTTCTGTGTAGTAGCTAACACCTAAATTCCTGGATTTAGCAGCAGTGACCATTTGGGTTATCAACAAGCAGCAGAGAATAATGGAGTCGGAACAGGCTGTTTAGGGAAAGCTTTTCCCTGGGAAATCTTAGTGAAGAAAGCACCAGTTAAAATCTGGGATGCCAGTTTGTATGGTGCAGGGGCTTATTGGACTACAAAGAGGAAATAATGGATTCAAAATCTAAAGTCAAATCAAGCTGATAGCCGTTCTTGTTCCTTTCTCTAGCAATTTTGCAACCACCACAAATTTTGTGACATCAAGCAACATGTTTTATTTTCCTCATGGGTTAGAAATTCAGACAGGACAGAGCAGGAATGGCTTACTTCTGCCCCATGAGACTGGGGTCTGAGCTGGAAAGACAATGAATTGGACTCAAGAACCCACTTCCGAAATGACTTCTTTGCTTACATGTCTGTACCCTGATGGGAAAGCTAGAAGGCTGGTCTCAGCCAAAACTGTCAGTAAGAATACCTCTATGTGGCCTCTCTGGTGTAGTATCTACAGGGTAGTTGAACCCTTTCACATGGCAGCTAAGTGCTCCTATGAGCTTACTCAAGGGAAGTTGTATCCTCTTTTGTGATCTAGCATTTGCATTCCCACATAGTGACATTTCCAATATTCTTCATTGGCTCACTCAATGAGAGGCTCAACCAGAATCAAGAGGAGGAGACATAGATCCTTTCCCTAAAGGAAAGAGTGTGCAAGAATTTGCAGTTGTGTTTAAAGCTATCCCAATTCTTAAAGAAGTAAAACTGAGAAGTAAAAAAAAATTTAAACTGAAGAAACTCTAAAATTGAAGAGCAGGAGATACTTCATTGAAAATGTTGATATGTATTATGTCACAAAGTAGAGTCTAAAAGGGGCTTAAGAATGGGATAAGAGGCCGGGCGCGGTGGCTCAAGCCTGTAATCCCAGCACTTTGGGAGGCCGAGACGGGCGGATCACGAGGTCAGGATATCAAGACCATCCTGGCTAACATGGTGAAACCCCATCTCTACTAAAAAATACGAAAAACTAGCCGGGCAAGGTGGCGGGCGCCTGTAGTCCCAGCTACTCGGGAGGCTGAGGCAGGAGAATGGCGTAAACCCGGGAGGCGGAGCTTGCAGTGAGTCGAGATCGCGCCACTGCACTCCAGCCTGGGCAACAGAGAGAGACTCATCTCAAAAAAAAAAAAAAAAGAATGGGATAAGAAACCATGAAGCCCACTAGTGTTTCTTTGTTTCTTTGCTGCAGCAAAAACCTTTGGAGGTCTTAAACCTTGATCTCTAGGCATTGGGAGCTCTTGTTTTTATATAGTGGTGACATTGGTGATATCCTTTGGAAAGGTTTCGGAGAACAAAGGTTTTAATCTTGGCCTTGGGCAAGATATTTAACCTTTCGGAGATGTTATTTCCTCATCTTTTAAAAGGGCATGAGGAAATCTCCCTGAAAGTGTTGCTGTACATTTAAAATAACATCTTTATGTAAGACTGAGCACTGTGCTGGATGCATAATACACCAAAAACAGAAGAATTCCCTCATGGAATATATATATATATATATCCGGGTTTGTCTTATGTCAGTTGACAAAATGAACATAGGCTTAGAAATAAGATAATACCTTTCCATGGGGGGATGGTACAGATTTTCTAGGTTTGGTGGGGTGGATGGGAAATCATTTAATGGTTTTGAATTATGAAGGTGAATTAGAATTTCCTGGAAAATTTGTAAAATAATACATATTCATAAAGCTTCATCTTAGACCTACTGAATCTAAAAGTCATCTTGACATGCCAATACTCTGTATTTTTAATTAGCTCCTCAGCTGATAATAATACAACCAGGCTGTTTGGCAGCAGTCTGAGGATGACCACGAAATACGTTACACGATGTTATAAAAGCTCATCTGGGCTCCAGTCACACATGAACTCTTTTTTTCCCACAAAGTATCATTGTGATCAATCCTTAAACGAAGTGTTAAATAACATTAGTCAACTCATGATAAATAATGTAAATAATTTTCACCATTCTGATTTTGTTTTTAGTTAACAAGAAAATCTAAAACAACTTTTGTTTATGTTTGATAAATATCCTGGCAATTTGCCTGCCTACACTCAATATTTCAAATATGCATATGTAGGAATTTAAAAATTATTCCACAGCATTTTAACAGTTGAATTATTTTAAATATGCTCATAAAAGCCATTGAGATGTGCTCTTAATACATACTATTGACTTAGAGGTTGCCCTTGTTCAAACGATTATTGTTATTTTTTTCCTGAAAATTTCCGATTGTCTGGTCAATTATTTAACCACATTGGCATTCCTCCAATTTTCTTACATTGCAGAACACATGTCCAGTTTTGGTTTCTTTGGAAATCCTCAACAAAAATAGTTTTTCTGCCAATTCTACCTGTCAATAGTAAAAATTATCCCCTATTTTTACAAAGTCAACAAGCCATAAATTATAGAGAATTATCAGATCTCTGAAAATGTGTTGAATGTTTGTCTTCCCCAAATTCATACACTGAAACCTAATTCCAATGTATTAGGTGGGGCTTTTGGGGGGTGATTAGGTAATGAGAGCTGTGACCTTGTGAATGGGATTAGTGTCTGTATAGTATGTTTTGCATTGCTATGAAGGAATACCTGAGGCTGGGTAATTTATAAAGAAAAGAGGTTTATCTTGTCTCACAGCTCTACAGACTGTACAAGAAACATGGAACCAGCATCTGTGTCTGATGAAGGCCTTAGGAATCTTCCACTCATGGAGAAAGGTGAAGGGGAGGCAGGTGTGTCACATAGTGAGAGAGGGAGCAAGAGAAAAGGAGCAAGAGAGAAGGGAGATACCAGACTCTTTTAACAATGAGATCTCATGCTATTTCATTACCATGAAGAGGCACTAAGCCACTCATGAGGGATCTGCCCCCATGACCCAAACACTTCCCACCAGGTCCCACCTCCACCATTGGGGATCACATTTCAACGTGAGATTTGGAGGGACTAAACATCCAAACTATATCAGTGCCCTTGTAAAAGAGACGCTTGAGAGCTAACGAGCTCCATCTATTATATAAGAACTCAATGAGAAGATGAGTTTTATAAACCAAAAGACCCTCATCCAACACTGAATCTGATCTTTTGATCTTGGACTTTCCAGCCTCCAGAACTGTGAGAAAAAAAAATTCCTATTGTTTAGAAGCCACCCAGTGTATGATAATTTTTGTTATAGAAGCTTTAACAGATTATGACAATATGCCTCTCCATATCAACATAAAGAAAATCTGAGAATGGAAATTATTGTCAATACATGGGAAGGCAAACAATTAAATAAGATTTTTCCCATAAATCTAAAACTTCTAAAGACACAAGATTAAAGAATTTTTTAATGCAAATATGTGTACATACAGAAGAAAATGCTTTTTGCAGACTTTCACATGACCATAGAGTCTATTTTGGAAAATAAAAGTGTATTGAGTCATTCAGGCTTATATTATTTTTTCAAAAGCCTTATACTAGAAGAAAATTTCCTAAATTTTTAATCAAAGCACTTTTTGTAACAGTAGTTTAGAACTATTACACCCCAAGATACTGGATAGACAGATAAATGTGCACTCACATATCAAATTAAATAAAATAGATTACATAAAGCCCCTAGTGCCAGATATCAATGGGAACAGATATTTAGCTAGTCATTATTACTCTATTAATCTACTTGTTCATTTAGGTAAACTGCTAGATACATGCGGCATCAGGCTTGTTTTAGAAATAAAATCAATCTTGAATTCACTTGCTTTACCTTCTTTTACAGGAAGACAAAACAAAACTTCTGGAATGCCTCTTCATCTGTCCTGTATCCTTGACAGAATTCCTGTTTAGTGGTTTTCACATTTAAGAACAGATCCAATTTTGTCAAATAAATTCTTACATGGAACTCCAATCCATGAATTAGAACCAAAGTTAGTATAAGTCATTTCAAGTTTAATAGGTTTAGTTGTTATTTCTTAATTTTGTCTTTCATGGCACAGTGTTGAGAAATCCTTCATTTACACAGACAAAAAATTGCAAATTTTTTTTTTTTTTTTTTTTTTTTTTTTTTTTTTTTTTTTTTGAGATGGAGTCTCACTCTGTCGCCCAGGCTGGAGTGCAGTGCCGCTATCTCGGCTCAATGCAAGCTCCGCCTCCCGGGTTCACGCCATTCTCCGGCCTCAGCCTCCTGAGTAGCTGGGACTACAGGTGCCCACCACCATGCCCGGTTAATTTTTTGTATTTTTAGTAGAGACAGGGTTTCACCGTGTTAGCCAGGATGGTCTCGATCTCCTGACCTCGTGATCCGCCCGCCTCGGCCTCCCAAAGTGCTGGGATTACAGGCCTGAGTCACCGCGTCTGGCCCCAACTGATTTTTAACTATTTCTGTGTGCTATCTTCCTACATTTTCCAATTAAATTCTGATAGCTTGACAAGTAGTGATTTCTAGTTTTCAAAATTATATCACTAACTTACCGATATATTCAACTAGTGCTTGCTTTCAATGATTGGTTAATATGGGATCTGAAAAGGTTCCTATGCCAACATAAATGTTCATTAAGAATTTTTCAAAAATGTCAAAAAAAAAAAAAAAACCCCATCTCGGTTTCAACTATGAAATAACAATTTAATATTTCAAAACGTCATATTTATTTTTCCTTGCCATTAAAATCAAACTTTGGCTTCAATTTTAAGGCTGGCATTCTATATACACTTAAAAGTAGGTAATTTTGTGAGTGTGAATTGGACTTACTTAGATTACTAACATTAGCAGCGAAATATACAACCTGTTTCCACATCTGGAGTTTAAGTATTAACACTGTAAAATATTATCTGAAATTCTCATATTTTAAACTGTCATATGGACAATACAACAGATTCCACTATAAAAATAATTTTTAAATCACTGCAAGTAGGATTACATGTAACGCTGAATGAAATGCAGTTAAAACATAAAACAAAATTATAACTAGTGTAGTGTTTGCTGACAGTATTTGCCTAGCAAATTTCCTTAATCAGGGATCTTTTTAATGAAACACAATGATGGTTCATACATAATAAAAGTCTCATACGTGCTTTTTTACTTCCATTGTTTTCAAATTTTTAATACAGCTTTCATTACACTTTTGACACCTTACTTGATAGAATATTTTTAAACACAAATGCTTAAACATTGTAAATATTTATCTTAATTTTTATGAATACCTGAAAAATGAGAACAGTAACATCTGAAGCCTCTTCCACCTGAATTATGAAGATGTCAAGCATTCTCAGCCTCAAATTAATGTATCAAGTACATTGCATTTGTATCTTTGTGTTCTTTCCTAGCTTCTTAAAAAACTGTGCTAATTATGTTTTCAAAAATTGTTGTTTTTCTAACATATTGGTTACAATATCAATATATGTGACTTAATAAAATAGTCTCTGAGAACATGTGCTTTTCTGTATGTATTAGGTATCCGCTTGCTTTTAACAGTATTGTAAGTTTTTATAATCATATTTAAATTGTGTTTATCTAAAATATTTATGAACATTGAATTTATGGTGAACAAAGAATTCTTTCAAATTGCATGTGGTTATGTTTCAAATATGTGAAATTTTTGAATACTTTATTAAAATTTTACTGTAATAGAACACATTAAATATCTGAGTAATTTTTATCTTCATAGAATGTAAAACCCAATAAAAATAAGTTGTGTCACATTCTCAATTTCAAGTGATCTATGTATGAGTTAACACTTTTTTTATTTCATTGACTTTTATCATTGTGGTTGGTATCAGGGAATTGCCTGGTACTAATATTTGACATTTCATTTTTGAGCCTGATCAAATCTCTTCATATACAGGGTATCTTGTCTGTTGGCTTGATTTCCTGTCTTTTATTATGGAACGATTACTAATTTCAAGGGTAGTTATTTTATCTCACTAGAAATGATCATAGGTTTTGCATGTGTGTGTAGGTGTATGTGTGTGCATAGAGCAAAAAAAGCACTACAAAACCTTAAAGGGCTGAATTTAAAAAATATATTGTTATTGGCACAAACAATCTGCATTTTCCCTGTTATGTTATTTTCATTCTAAAACTGTTTTTCTATGTTGAGAACTTACTCCAGCAGAAACAACTGAATATTTCCTGAGACGTTTTATGCATAGTGACATTAAGATTTGAATGAAAATCTAAAGAATGGATCTACTTTGTAAATACAGAGAGAATTAGAGTAAGTAATTAAAATAAGGAAAATAATTCACATAACTATTTAGAGGAAGAATGGAGTGCATTGTGTTGGGTCAGAGGTGTCAGATGTTGCAGGTGTGGTGAAGAGAAGACTAGCCTGAAGAGAAGACTATAATGAAAACTTTGGTGGAACAGTGACAGAGGAAAACGGTGGAGCTGGATTACTGAGAACTCTGCCTTCTTGGAGGAGTTTGGATTTTAACGTCCTGTTAGGACATTGGCAGCTGAGGGCCCTTGAAGGATTTGTGGTACAGAGTTGACAAGCATAAATTAAGGCCTTAAAAATATTAGTTTGGTTTAGAAGAAATAATTCATTTTGGGTAGCAATGTGGATTCTGGAAGAAAAACAAAGTCAGAGGTAGGACAACAATATCTTGACTAGACTAGGGTGTTGGCACAGGGAAAATAAAGAAGCAAAATAGTGAGAGTTGTTTTTGTTTGTTTTCAGAGAGTCTCCCTCTGTCACCCAGGCTGGAGTGCAGTGGCCGTGGTCTCTGCTCACTGCAACCTCCGCCTTCCGGGTTCAAGTGATTCTTCTGCCTTGGCCTCCCGAGTAGCTGGGAGTACAGGCGTGCACCACCACACGTGGCTAATTTTTGTATTTTTAGTACAGACGGAGTTTCACCATATTAGCCAGGCTAGTCTTGAACTCCTGACCTCGTGATCTGCCGGCTTCAGCCTCCCAAAGTGCTGGGATTATAGGCATGAGCCACCGAGCCAGGCTGAGAGGCGTTTTCTTAGATTTGCCTTATTAAAAACATTTCAGCCTATTTTCACATGACATTTCAATGCCTTTCAGGATTAAGGACATTTTCGTTTCTGTAAACAACAAGAAGAATTTTTTTTTTTTTAGTGTGCAATACAGACAATGGGGACATATGCACCGGTTTCATCAATGTGGGCAAATACACTGCTCACAATCCGTGTGATCAACAAAGATACCAGGAAATGGTCATCACCAGTGTCTATGTCTCAGTTCATACTTGCACAGGATGCGTTCAAAACCTACCTTCTTCCTTCCCTACCTGAAAGGAACACCATTAAAACTTTGGGTCAGAAGGAAACAATGAGCTATCAACTTACCACAGGCAGCTTTTGACAGCTTTTCCATTTGTATACGCATTTCAATCAATTTTAAATCAGAGAGACAAAGCAAATCTCCTTCAGCTTTCAATTTGCCTCTGCAGTGATGGGTGCCCTGTCTGATGTTTACAGTTCACAGTCTCTTAATAATGGATGATTTTAGCACCTTGCTTCTTTCTATATATTTTTATAATGCTTTCAGCAATTTCATTAGTGCTGCTTTTTAAGATGACAATTTGACTAAAATGAAAGGCTCACGAAGCAGTTTGAAGCATAAGAAAAAAGGAAATTAACTTTGGGAAAAACTGATTTTTTTAAAAATTCTACTTCTTTCTGACATCTTCATTTATTTTCACCTAAAATGTCAGGTAATTTATCCAGGCCTTTTCAGTTTTCTGCAGTCATTCTATAGAAGTTACATTCTCTAGCACATTTGCCATGAGTAAAGCTATTCCTCTTCAACCTGTACATGCCCATTCACAAAACGCCACTTGATCAAATAACTCTACCCTTTTGGTTTACCCCAAATGACTTTTACTTGGATTTATCTATTTCACTATCCTAATATTACTGCTATTCTATAAAATTAATTAAAAGTGCATCTGAGCCCTATTGCCATGTTTTTGTTTGTTTCATTTAGGTTGACATTGTCAAGTATCTTATCAAGGCTACTTTGTCAGTAAAAAAAAAAAAAAAAAAAAATGTATTTAAAGTAGTCTCCTTCTACACCCCATGAGACATAGTAAGGTATAACGGGTTAATTTTTTTTTTCAAGTGAAGAATCATTTCTTATTTTAAAAATATATGTTGGGCCAGGTACAGTGGCTCACTCCTGTAATCCCAGTATTTTGGGAGGCCGAGGTGGGTGGATTGCCTGAGCTTAGGCGTTTGAGACCAGCCTGGGCAACATGGTAAAACCCCATCTCCACTAAAATACAGAAAGCTAGCCAGGTGTGGCGGTGTATGCCTGTAATCCCAGCTACTTGGGAAGCTGAGGCAGGAGAATTTCTTGAACCTGGGAGGCGGAGGTTGCAGTTAGCCAAGATTGCACCACTGAACTCCAGCCTGGGTGACAGAGCAAGACGCCGTCTCAAAAAAATATATCTCTATCTCTCTCTCTCTCTCTCTCTCTCTCTCTCTCTCTCTCTCTCTATCTATCCATCCATCCATCCATCTATCTATCCATCCATCTATCTATCTATGTTAAAGGTGTATCTCTCTGCTCCTCAACCAAAGCTTTGGCACTTGCCAAATATTCAGCCTGGAAAATAAATGAGATTATGGAGGGAAAAAAAAAACTTAAAAGAAACATCAGTTAACCAATTGGCTTGTCATCTCTTAAAAATATCTCCTATCGAAATAGGAACACTTTTACACTGTTGGTGGGACTGTAAACTAGTTCAACCAGTGTGGAAGACAGTGTGGCAATTCCTCAAGGATCTAGAACTAGAAATACCATTTGACCCAACCATCCCATTACTGGGTATATACCCAAAGGATTATAAATCATGCTGCTGTAAAGACACATGCACACGTATGTTTATTGCGGCACTATTCACAATAGCAAAGACTTGGAACCAACCCAAATGTCCATAAATGACAGACTGGATTAAGAAAATGTGGCACATATACACCATGGAATACTATGCAGCTATAAAAAAGGATGAGTTCATGTCCTTTGTAGGGACATGGATGAAGCTGGAAACCATCATTCTGAGCAAACTATCGCAAGGACAGAAAACCAAACACCGCATGTTCTCATTCATAGGTGGGAACTGAACAATGAGATCACTTGGATACAGGGTGGGGAACATCACACCCCGGGGTCCTATTGTGGGGAGGGGGTAGAGGGGAGGGATAGCATTAGGAGATATACCTAATGTAAATGACGAGTTAATGGGTGTAGCACACCAACATGGCACATGTATACATATGTAACAAACCTGCACATTGTCACATGTACCCTAGAACTTAAAGAATAATTACAAAAAAAGTAAAACAAACAAAAAATCTCTCCTGTCAGTGTAGTTGGTAACATGGTGACCAAAATGGAAAGAGGCAGATGACTATGAATCAGTAAATAATAACATAACATTTGGATACATAAGATAGTCACAAGCATATATTGGGAAAATTATAATGGTAAGAAAAGCACTTATTATTTATTTACTTTTTAAAAAATCTAATTAGAACTCCTTTGCAGAGATGAGACCACACTTAGAAGTGGTGTGCCATTCTTGCAGTGAGCCAAGATCATGCCACTTCACTCCAGTCTGGGTGCAGAGCGACACTCTGTCTCAAAAAAGAAAATAAATAAATAAATAAATAAATAAAAATAAATAAGGTGGTGTACCATTTTTGGGTGTCAACTTTAGTTAAATCATTTTTTAATTTCACATAATGAAATATCTTTGAAATATAAGTTGGGAAAACAAAGGAATTTATTGGCTCTTATATGAGCCCCCAGGGCTTAAACTGATTTAAATGCAGTTCTGCCTAGGAGGTCAACAATATCACATGGTATCTTTCTCTCTAGGAGTTGACTCCATGAATCTCTCTTTATCCTTATTTTTTACACAGTTTGTCTTCATGTGGCAGTGAGGCAGAAAAATAGGGTCTGAAGGCAGGGAACATAAGGCTGATCCACACTTCAGGTATGAGAAGAAATATCCTCTCCATAGGGCATACACCGAGTAAATGACTTTGCACCTTTACTTCATCCTCTTCATTTACGTAGGGCATATACCAAGTAGTAGAGTATTTAAACTCACAAGAACTCCATAACAGGGTCCTTGAGCCTCTATGCTCGGGGCTGCTCCCACACTGTGGAGTGTACTTTCATTTTCAAAAAATCACTTCATTATTTTCTTGCTTTGTTTGTGCATTTTGTTCAATTTCTTTCTTTTTTTTTTTTTTTTTTTTTTTTTTTTGTGATGGAGTCTCACTCTGTCGCCCAGGCTGGAGTGCAATGGCATGATCTTGGCTCGCTGCAACTTCCGCCTCTCAGGTTCAAGCAATTCTCCTGCCTCAGCCTCCCAAGTAGCTGGCATTACAGGCACCCGCCAGCATGCCTGGCTAATTTTTGTATTTTTAAGAGAGATGGGGTTTCACCATATTAGCCAGGCTGGTCTCGAACTCCTGACATTGTGATCTGCCTGCCTCGGCCTCCCAAAGTGCTGAGATAACAGGTGTGAGCCGCTGCACCTGGCCACATTTTGTTCAATTCTTTGTCCAAGACATCAAGAACCTGGACACCCTCTACCATTAACAGCAGGACAGTTACCAGATATTCATATTCTTCTGGCTTAGCTATTCC